AAATGGCGGATCTTCATCGCTACTGAACCTGCATTAAAACGGTTATATAAAACACATGGTTAAATTATTTAGTTTGTTTCTAAAAGTTTCCAAAAACCTTAGAAAGCAATATACTCACATGTAAAAAATGTTTTCTATACCGCACTTTGGATATTTATATTGCGTCTACAAAAAGCCTGGACATTGGTTGATCGTTGAATGACATCGATTCATATCGGTTTTGTTGAGTATCTTGAAAATATGCTTTAGATAGTGAAATTAACTAATATCTCATGTTTTTTTAACTAGTTACTTATCATCAGATTTGGACATTTATTTCCTCATATCAACTCGTCTGATTGGGCAGCGAGCAACTTTCAACTCGCGTTTTGGTTGCAGATTTCATTTTAAATTCCAAATATTTATTAGTTAAAACGTAAAATAACGAAAGTGTTTCAAATATCAATTTACTGCCATCAAAATATTTTGTTGAAGTAAATTGTTTTTGTCGTTTCTTGGGCGAGTTTTCAAAGAAGTTTCATGCTACTTAGCCTCAAACTTTTATATGCTTGTGCTTGGTTCTTGCGATTTGTTTTTGCCATTTTTAGTCCAGTTTAACCCAAAACTAACTTAGACCTAACATCAAATTAACAAGAATTTACGTAGGAAAACTTCAATTGTATAATGAAGACTGCAGTTGTAATAACTGATGAAATTAAATGTTGTTGAAACCAAGGTTCTTATAGATTAAGACTATTGGGATGAACTGATCGAATTTGTATCAATTGATGCTTCTTTGAAAAACGAAGGAATTCAACGTTTTCTAGTAAAATGTGTGTTCATTTTGCTGTTAAAATTGGTGGAAAAGTTGTGTTTAGAAGAAACGAACAAAATCGTAAACAGTAATTTCACTGAGTTTTTAAACCATACTGGAACGTTGGTCTGGCTTTCGTCTGTAAGACCTGAATAAGACACTTTAATTCGTTCATTCAGCTTGTGGCGATTTTTTCACTTTTTCCATTCGTGTCTCATCAATTCTTTGAAAACTTACTTCAAATTCTGTATTTCCAGCTTGGTTATTTTGCCAGGAAGTTTTGTCCTGTTGGACTACTGTGCGTCGTCGGCCTTGAAATTCTTATGTTTTGGGGGACGAACCCGTTTTGCAGAACAGGATCATCCAACGGTGCCCTTGCGCGATGTCCTTCGCCCTTGAAATTTGCAAACAAGGCCCTGGATCATCGATTTCCGTGTTTTCAGCCACATAAAGGTAACTACTGAGATACCTTTGAATGCGTAAGGTGGCAGCCCTTAACTCTGTGACTTTCTTTTTTGGGGTCGCAGCTGGTGAAAGGAAAATTTCAGCTGGATTTTGCATTGATGTGTCGTTCGAAATTTGTGCTTTGTGGCTTGATTTGAGATAATGTTGCTGATCTGCTGTTTACCTCTCATTTCTTTTCTCCACATAGCAGGCATAAATCTTAAGAAACGAAAGGAAAGTGAGTGTTTCAATGGGTCTTTCAATTGCCATACTGTTAATATTTTAGTAACAAACCAAATCATTTGCTTTAATATTTTTTCATAATCAAAATTGGTTTTTGATCAAAAACCATTTTAGGTTTTGATCCTTCGTTGCAATTTCCCAGTAAATCCACACAAAAATCATCAGCTTCAGAATACGCCTTAATGTCGCTTAATGGTTTTTTAATCAAATTGTTAGTAGTTTGTCAGTTGTTTTCTTCTATAAAGCTTATTAGGTTTCGTCCTGCTTCTTCATATTACTCATGAAATAGAGGCAGTTGCGCTTGAATCCAACATTTCCTTGTAAATTGAACTTACAAAAAATTTGTTTTTCTCTGCAAAAGTCTGCGATTTTTGCACAGATGCATGTAGAGGACTCGGTCAAAAATACAGAGCGGTTTATAAAAGGTTGCAACCATACATTTTTTATTAACCCTAAACATTTAGGTAACACGATTGAAGTAATTTTTTGTCCCATTCCACATCTGTGCCAATTTCTCTCGAAACGGTATTGAAACCATTTGTCTACTGTGCAAAATAAGGAAATTATGCAGTCAAATTTCATTTCTTTTTCAGATTAAATTGTCTCAATAGAGTAATTTTTAACTGCACAACGTGCATTAAATTGCAAAGCGAAACGATTGGCCCTTGTATATAGGGGGACCAATTTTAATCGGTGACACTTTAATTTATTATTCGAGCAAGTATTTATTATTTGATTTCCTCAACAGGTAACAGAATGAAAGTCCGTATATATTTTAGGTCTCACAAGTCTAATAAGCGTAAGTTAAGCCATTGAGAAAGCTTTAGTAGAAGACATGCTGGGGACGTTCAAAAATTCTGATAAGTCGAATCTTTTTATAAGGCGACTTTAGGGAAATATCGAAGCCTTATGGAAAAGCAAATCGTTTTCGAGCAATTTTAACTTTTATTCTTTTCACTTTAGAGATTTTTCATCGAAAATATATTAAAATAGGTCAATTTTCTCTCCCAAGAAAGTTAAAAAATGAAAACGGGTAAACTCGAAGCGTCGCTTCCTCATAATATCGCAAAGCTCATTCAGAAAGTAGGTCGATTTGGTCAAGCGCATGAATAGAAAATTTGAAATCACTCGAAAACTGTTGACTTGTCCAAAAATTCTCAAAGCAAACTTTTTCTCTTAAAAACTGTGTAGCTTCAGGAAACATTTCTGAACCTGCCTCAAAAGATTGGCACTATCAAAGTTGTCATGCGCTCAGTTTTTGTATCATATTGTGTATGACAAAGTATCACAGATTAAACTTGGACCACCCTATCTATATGCGCTACTCTATTGGTGTAAAGGATACTACCTATATGAAAAATTATTGATTTTTTTTTTAACAATAAAGCTTAAACAAGAAATATATTTCTTAACTATTTATATCATTTAAAAACAGTATTTTCTTCAACTTTCATTTACAAATTTGTTACTACAAGTGGTCTTAATTATTATTCTGTTACTGATATTTTGCATTTATTATACTCATAGATTAAATTTGGCAATAGACTTTCTCTAAACGATTTGAATTATTAATAAAGATTTTTGCATCTTGTAAATGAAGTTGGGAAAGCAAATATTTTTAAGTGATTTAAATTAATACCAAATATTTTTGCATTTTATAAATGACGTTGGAAAAATAAATTATTTAAATAATTAAAAAAGTAAGTAATTGCAACTTGTAAATGAAGTTGGGAAAAGAAATATTTTTAAGCAAATTGATTTATTAGCGAAGATCTTTACAACTCCTAATGAAATTAGAGAAAGAGATGTTTTAAGGGATTTAAATCGTTAACAAATACAGGGTGATTCAAAATTGGCGTAATTCCTTTTAAGCGGTAATAGGGACTCACTTGAAGACGACAAAAATAATGACAACATTTTTTTCCGAAAACTTGTACAAGATATTAACCGTTGAAAATCGAATGTCAACTTTGTTATTAAGCATTATTTTTAATTGGTCCCATCTTTGGTTCGTACCTATTGGAATACTTATGCGTTCGTAAAGAAAAATTACGGTCTTTGCTCCAAATTACGAAAAAAAATTATATTTAAAAAGTTCTCTTATACAATTTTTTGATAAAAAGTCAAAGCGGCAATGATGTTTCTTGTCTTCAACAGATAGCTACAGGTAACGGTGTAAGAATTTCGAATATGCGATTAGTTATGGGTCACATTAACATAGCGGAAGCTGTAAAATTTTGTTAAAAAAATGTTTTTACTAATTTTTTTGTACTCCTAAAACACCCTCAGACAACACCTCCAGAGGAATGACGCCAATTTTGAATCACCCTGTTTATTTAAAACTTGTCAATGAAGTTATTCATTTTTTTTTGGTCATTTATCAAGCGAATTAACAACAATTTTTTAAACTTTACTTAATATAATTTGTATATTTCAATAGCGATGACCGAAAATGGGACGCACTGTATAGTTGCCTTATTTTGAGCAACTCGATTAATGGTTTTTAAAACGTTTGGAAGAAGTTATCACACATTATTCAAAAAGTTTAGGTAATAAAGATAATTTATGAATAATAATTTAGTCATAAAAACATCCGACTTTTTCTATTTTATTCTTATTCGTATATTTGGAAATCGAAGACCTCAACAACAAAAAAACGAAGTTATTGTAAAACCAATAAAATAAATAGTTCACTCTCATCAGTACTGTGTAGTGTTCTGCAAGCTTCAATGCAAAAACACACGACTTTAAAGAAACAAAAATATTTAATATCCTTATAAGTTTTTTGGTAGTTTAAGAACATTAAACAGTTGAACTTGTCTTGTGAAAATGTCCTACATTTTCATTTGATAAAGGAAATCATGAACATAACAAGCAGTTGAATGTCGAATTTGGGCTTTATTTGAGTGGAAATCTAGAAATCTCCATCAATTTTTATATAAATATTAACAAATAGATAAGTTGTGACTTGCAATTTTCCTAACATTGCACATGTTTTGGACACCACAGAGATATTTAATTTTCTTTGAAATATGCTACGCGTGCTTGGATATATTTTTATATTTTATATGCACTGTATAATTTTCAAATTTAATTCGTTTATAAAATGTTCTGGTTCTCTTAAGACATCTGCACTGTGTGCATTGAAAACTGTTTTAAGGCGAGCCTATGTAAAAAAAACCACAAAAATTATTCAGTTGACATAGGATTTTTCCGAATTTTAACCGCATATTTACATTGTTCTTCAAATTTTAATTTGTTGTCTTATGACAAGAACATTCACATTTGGCACTTTACCATTCAGTTTCGTGATAAAAAGACGCTGCATCCTTAATGCGAGTTTAACCCAAATATAATCTCTTTTTGCCCACAATCCATTAAATATTAGTAATACTTAACCCATTGAGATTTTTTATTTTCCTCTTCTATCGTTTGTGGCAAGGGAGTAATTCCTGCCGAGCCATCGGAGCCTTCATTACATAAATAGCAGACGAATTATAAGTCAGAAGAAAATCGAGTGGGAAATTAAATATTTTATTCGTACAAAAATAAAACAATATTACAAAAACTTACTGTAAAGTTACGGCAGTTAGCAATAGGCAGCTTTGCTTCGACGCAGTTATTGAACACACTATTTTCTAACATTCAACATTTCACTTCTTTTTAGAGACAGTCTTTCATTTTAACTCTGGTATATTGAAAATGCACAAATTTATAGCCGAATATTCATTTGCTCCCAATTTTAAGCCTCCAAGGTAAGATTTGCCGCCAATTCTTCCAACGCTCGTTTGTAGCGAATATACCTGGAAGCGGACTGTCCTCTGTTCAAGTAGCATTGCGAAAGAGCATCTCCTTGGTACCCGGTTGGACAAGTACATACAGCCAGATGGTTCCTGGGGTTGCATTCAGCATTCACACCACATTGACCAACGCAAGGATTTTGGCAGCTAAACAAATTGAAATATTAACTTTTCACGATTTTTTACGCTTGCAACTTGAATTTTTCCAAATGTTATCATCTTTTGGCATCCAGCAATGAGCACAGTTTTTATAGAAACAAAAAAACTTACACGTAATCAATACAAGCCTGATTATTGGGACAATCAGGGTCTCCCAGACATTCTCCTCTTCGACATCCTGCAACCGGATTGCCAATGTAACCAGTTTGGCAGAAGCAGACTGGCCGTTCCTTTGCAGGATTGCGTGTCTCAAATCCAGGCTCACAATATGCGTTGGATCCGCATGGGTTTGGTTCACAAAGATCATCTAAAGTGAAAGTGAGACGTTAGATTCGGCTTTACTTTCAAGCTCAAGTTTTCGAGCAAAACCGAGGAACATTTCAATATTTCTGGTCCTTTAAGTGCGTTTTAGAAAGGAAATATGTTTAAATCGTTACTTACGTGAATCGAAAGGTCTGCAGCTTACAAACGGATCGCCGGTCATGTCCTTTGGACAGGAGCAAATAGGAGTGAGTCCCCTGAGGTTGCAGTCAGCGCCCACTCCACAAACACCATCGCATGGGTTCTTGCAGATCCCGTAGAAACAGGCTGGTCTGCCAGCTGGACAGTCCACATCCCCGTAACATTCCGGTTTGCAGGAAATCGAAGGGTTTCCGAAGTAATTCTGGAATTTTATGTTGGATTTGAACGTCGGGAGGGATCTTCAACGTTCGAAGTGCCTACCTTGGGGCAGCTGCATACAGCTTGATGGTTCCTGATGGAACAGTCGGCATTTTCTCCACATTGAGAACTGCATGGATTTTGACAACGGAAATCGATGCAAGCTTGATTGGAATTGCATTCGCCATCCCTTTCGCATTCATGCCGACATCCGGCAATTGGTGAGCCCAAAAATCCTTGCATAAAATTTCAATTAGAATCCATTGATCAATAGACTTTAAGTTGCAGAAGAATAGGAAAATGTATTAATTACCAGGTCTGCATTTGCAAGTTGGAACTCCATTAACTACTTCACAGTTGGTGTTTTGTCCGCAAGGGCTTGGGTGGCACAGTTCAGCTGAATCAATATAATTTGCTAAAGTTCGTTATAGAATACACTAGTTATAGACTAAATAATATGATATAGAATTTAATAAAAAAAAATATTTTCAAATATAAAGCTGAATTATTTATTCTGAAAATTTATTATGAAATTATTTGATTTCTTCCGACAGTATTTTGCAGAATTTTGAACCCAAATTGCCAAATAAATTCGCTACTTTAAGGTGTAATAAAGTTCCTGTTTATGTAGTTGCAAATGTCGGTATATGAGATACCTTCCAAACTCACGGGTTTGAGTTAGAAATATTTTATTACGTTCATATTATTGTTTGAAATCAACTTTTTTCCCTTTTTCTAGTCCCTGCCCATGTTTAGAAGAGTTCTTCCTCCAGAACAAATTAAATCCTCATTTTCTGCAGATAATAAATAATGTTTCCATCATTACTTATTTTGAATAGTGCATTTCGACTGAAATCTTATGGCCACTAATGAAATTAAAACTATACAGGGTGACTATTTTCTGAATCTTTGTGTGTGCAACTTCTACATTTTTAAAGATAGAGAATCCGTTAAATGGGCAAAATTGGGCAGAAGTCGCTTGCCTATTGATTACCGTTTTCAAAAGTTAGGTACCCGACTTGGTTCCTGAAATATCCTGAAATAGCAAGAAATCAACACTTTTTTAATTATCATATAATTCGTAAACTGCTTAAATTAAAAGAAAAGTTAAAATTGTCTTTGGTAGAACTTTTTGCGTTGAATTCAATAAACTAGCACTCCTTGTCATAGTGAACTTGATTTACGAAATAAAAAATGAACTTATGATTTTTTTAATGGTAATCGTAGTTGGCTGTGGTCCTTTTAAAATCCTTATTTTTTTCTGAAGTTAACGATATAACTGTTTGAATGTTTTTCTCCTTTTGTTGCCGTAAAACTTCAAAAGAAGATAAAAAATGTGTAGTAGGCTATGGAAACAAGAACTATATTATCACACAAAGTACAAAACAAAAATAAAATAATTAACAGACACAATCATGTTTACTGGGCTAAAGAAAATCATCATCTAATTGAAAATGGGCGAGATCAACGTGTTTTTTTTGTGAATGTCTGGTGAGGCATTTTTAGTGATAAAATCGTTGGTCCATTCTTTTATAATCACAATTTAAATATGGAAAGATATTTACACTTTTTATCAAATGAACTTGACATGACATGTTGAATAGTTTTCCGTTAGCATCGTATCGAAAATTGGCATATTTTCAACATGATAGTGCACCTTCACACAACTCACGAGTTGAATGTGAAGATGCCAAAGAAATGCCTGGACGTAAACGGAAGTCAATTTGAACATTTAGTTTAAACGATTCATTATTGTTTTGTGCTTTGTGTGATAATATAGTTCTTGTTTCCATAGCCTACTACACATTTTTTATCTTATTTTGAAGTTTTACGGCAACAAAAGGAGAAAAATATACAAACAACTATATCGTTAAATTCAGAAAAAAATTAGAATTTTAAAAGGCCCACAGCCAACTATGATTACCATTTAAAAACCATAAGTTTATTTTTTTATCTCGTAAATCAAGTTGACTATGATAACGAGTGCTAGTTTATTGGATTCAACGCAAAACGTTGCACTAAGGGCAGTTTTAACTTTTTTCTCAGTTAAGCAGTTTACGTAATAAGTGATAATTAAAAAAGTTTTGATTTCTTGTCTTTTCAGGATATTTGAGAAACCAAGTCGGGTACCTAAATTTTGAAAACGGTAATGAATAGGCAACCGAATTCTGCCCAATTTTGACCATTTAACGGGTTCTCTATATTTAAAAATGTAGAAGTCACCCGTACAAAGATTCAGAAAATGGCCACCCTGTATATGCAACGCATAAGATATCGGTTGCGGATGCTTACAAGGATCAAATCTTCTACAGCTACTGAATGGACTTCCTGTATATCCAGGTGGGCAACTGCATACGGGAACGTGATTTCTGGTTTGGCAATCAGCATTAATTCCACATGTTCCTGAGCAAGGATCAATGCATCTACCATTTCTACACGTTAAATGGCCTCTACATTCCCCATCAGATAAGCATTCCGACCTGAACAAACACAGCGTTAATAAATTTCAGTTAAATAAAAATCCCTAACTTTGGAAGTGAATAAATTCTGATTGCTTTAAGCGATTTCGAAATTTGGTTTCTGTTTGAAACCGTATTTAGCCCCATTTTTTTTTGTTCATCAAATTTTTTTCAAAAATTACGTACCTCAGATAAATTTTCTACAGGGTAGCAAATGAAAAAATGCAAAATTTCGGAAAGTTCCACACGACACTAGTTGGACAAAGAAAGGTTCACGTTTTTAATTTTGAAGCGACTGCTTTTTTGATTTTGGACCGGTTTTCACGATCTTAAGCTCATGTTGAAGCTAAAACTCCATTGACCACTTAGGACCATATACAGGGTTACATAAAAAATACCCAAATCCGAATTGCCCCCAAAATCCGTGATTCCGGAAGATTTTCAACTAAGTGAAGTTTACTTTCAAATATTTCGTTCGTTCATGCAACGCGGTTTGTTAATTTTTTTCTGAAGTCGACTGCGAAGTTTTAGCTTCAATAAGAGCCTGAGGTTTTGCCAAAGGAAGCAATTTATCACTGTAATAGCAAAAAGTTGATTTTTTTAACACCCCTATGTACACCATAAAACGAGATGAGCAAAAAAAACCAAAAAGTTTTTTCGCGATACGAGGCTTATCTTCCTGTCGGTTGTGCTGAAACACAAAAAAAAACGATTTCTTGTCCAACTGAGAGCAGGTGGAACTTTCCCCAATTTCGTTGGATTTGCCATCCTGTAGCAAATTTACCTAAAGCACTAATTTTTTTCACAGATACGCACTAACCGAAAAGGAATTGCACTAAATATCGCTTCAAACAATATCAAATCGCTCTCAGCAGTCAGAATTCATTCACTTGCAACTTTGGTCGAAATTTGTCCGTGTATCGTTTATATTGTTGAGCAGTTTAGTTTGATATATGAAGAAATTCCTTCAGAAGAAGCGTGAGAAGAGCGTTTTTTATAAACTCAAACTAGCAAGAAGTTGCTTTTTAATCAACGAAATTATTAAGATTTCAAGCATAAAAATCCATGTTTTAGTTACACAATGTGGTAAAAATGTTAGTAGCAGGTCCTTACCTAGTGCAAACAGATAACGGATCTCCAGAATATCCTCTGTAGCACGAACAAACCGGTCTTCCTCCTATCACTTGGCATTGGGCGTTTTGTCCACATGTGCTTGCCGTACATGTCGTGACTTGTTGAGCTAGATGATAAATTAAATGTGAATTTCCTTTAGTTTTATTCTGCGCAATGGAAGAACCATCCCATTAGCACCAAAAGAGGTATTAAAATGTTCGATTGAAGAGAGGTGAAGATGCGAATTTCGATAGAACAAGAATGGCATTGCGTTTGAATAAGGAATTTGTCAGCTTAATTTTGTTTATTATTTTATTATTTCCGGATGGTACCAAATGGGATGCTATTGATGTTGAGGTAAAGATAAATATAGTGTCAATCGAAGACTTAAATTAGAGGAGAACAAGACTTTTTGATTTATAGAAGTTTTGCTATTTTCTGTTTTAAAGTGCGGCCTGTGGAGGTAATTTAGTAAAAAAATCACTACTATTTCATTGCGTCAACCGATAATAAATTTATGAGATTCACGAGATGATTAATTTCTATATAGACCACTTCAGCTTTGGTCGTCTTTCAAATACTAATTTATAATTCCCGAGTTAACGTCGAAGATTCATATGTAAAAATCACAATAGTTTATCACATAATAACGAGTTGGAAAAATAGAACTAATAAAATTGAAAGTAAAAAATTGCAAATCAAAAAAGGAAGACTCAAATAAAACATCACAACTAAAATTAAAAAATTGAACAAAAATTAAACATTACATGCAAATAAAATGTTGGACAAGTTCCTTAGGCGACAGGCAAATGGTTAAGACTGTTAGCTTTCCAATTTATTTTGGAAAATACTTATTATATTTACATTTTTTAACGTAGTTTTTTGTCATAGTTTTCTAACACTTATTGTATAGCTTATTGAATATCTTACGTTTTAATGGCGCTTGAGACGTACATTTTTTTAGCGAAAACTCCAAAGATATATTATTGCAAATAGAAACATATATGAGCCGTCACTTTCGATATTTTAATAATATTCTTAAATTTTATTTTACTTTTGTTTGTTCCCTGGTTTGCTATTGTAGATGCGGGACAGACTATCTGCGCTTTTTTAGTAAAATGATTGTAATAAAATTTAGACTTTATCAAAACAGTTTTGTTCAATAAAAATCAGAAATTATGGAGAAACTAAGAATAAGTTCTTGAAAAACGTTTTCCTTTTGCGCTTCTTTATTTTTCAGTCTATGATCCTTTATTTATTGATTTGTTCTTCGCTTTAAAATAGATGCATATTTGATCGTTCCTCTTTCGAAATCATCTAGGACAATTTTTTCGATATTCCAAACTCACCCACAGTTTTAGTTAATCAAGATGATTTAATTTGCTCAAAACTGTATTAAGTTTATTATATCTATAAATATAAAAAGTGTTTTGTTTAACACCCACTCGTTGATTTTTGCATAAGATGGTACGATCAACACCTGCATTTTATTGCATTTGAATACAAATTTGGGAATAACAGTCAGTTTCAATTTCAGCAAAACACTTGCGTGGGTTCTGATTCGTGTTACTGGGTAACATTAGAGATGGAACTGGTTCCATGCTTTCAAATGTAAAACCCACGCAATTATTATATTGTGTATCAATAATTGTTTATTTGTCTGAAAATGTTGGCATTATGTAAGGAACATAAATTAGCAAATCTTTGCTTCGTTTTCTGTGTGACTAATTAATCTTATTTTACTGTATTCGTTGGCTCCTTATTTTATGACTTAGGTGGGCACGTATGTATTATCCAACAAAAAAAGGAGTTTATGCTTTGCGAAACATATCAAGAAAAATGTAAATATAAATACAGTAATTAATACATTTAAATTCCTATTTAAATTTGGATTAAAATGTCGATTTTTTAAATTATTTATTATTATTATTAAAGACAATAAATTCGTCAGTATCATCCGAACAAGAAATCATATAAGGACAGTGTAAATTTCGAGATTCGCTCACCTCAGGCACCCCCAGGACCGGTTTCGAGACTATTAGCTCTCATCAGCTGGGTTCTTGACTTTAATAATAATAATAAACAATTTATAAACATCGATATTTTAAGCCGAATTTAAATATGAATTCTTGACTGAAATTGCATGCTTTCTAGTCCCTTACCTTATATTATTGGAAAACCGAGTTAAAATGGAGGATCAAAATGTGACCAAAGTAAGAAGTGAAAATGAAGTGCCCGACTGAAAAAGCGTGCCAATTTTTTAGGGAAAAAAATAAAAACCTTCTCGAAAATAGCCACTTGGACAATGCTCGCAATCTCCGTTGTTTCTATAAGAAGAGCTTTGCACATATCTGTTATATTCACTTGCAGTTTGGGCTACTGTGTTTCCATACCGGTCTGTTATGTATACTTTATCATCGTAAAGAGGCCTAGATGGATAAGTGTATCTAAAATATTTAACTTCTGTTTAAATTTACATATTTTATTTAAATAAGTAATTTCGAAAGAAGACCATGAAAATCCATACTTTTAATAGCGGTAATTAATAAATCAATTTGCAAGGACGATGATACAAATGTGTCTTAACAAAGTGTAATTGAATTCTCATATAATTGCAATTAAATACCAGCATTTCCTTCCTTTTAGCTTTCCGAGAATTTAATAACTTCTAGTTACTACCTATTGCTACTTCAATAATAAAAATTGTTAATACCTGTAGGAATTTTCCACATAAGGATTTCTGTTGTATGTGTAATAGTTGTTGTAATAAGGAGATCCAGAAAGAACTCGGTATGTTCTGTAGTAGGGAGGCTCACCTGAACTTAAGCTTAATATTTGGAGCACTACAAGGGAGCATAGAGCTGCTGTCTGAGTCCCCATCTAATGAATTGAAAAATTCGGTTTAAATCCAGGAATAAATTTTAATTTTTTATCAGTCAAAATCGAATAAAAAAAACTTATAAATTATTTAAATACTTCATTGTCTTACTTTTTGGCTGAAACTGATCGCTGTGTTATCCTTAACTAAATCACCACACAAATACTCAATATTGTTTACCTTACCTTACTCTATAAGTTGTATTTGCTCTCCCCACTTAATTAAAAATTTCAAGATCTCTTAAAGAAACGAATTAGAGACTTGCTGTGACTGTTCGTAAGAATCACAGTAACTTTGTCTAGTAACTGGAGATATTTAAGTGATTTACTGAGTCGATTGTTATTGAAGCTATTGCAATCAATTTCCCTCTTCTTTGAGGGCAGATATATCAAAGAAATAACAATGAAGACAAATCAATTTAAAACGAATTTACAATTAAGACAAATAGGTACCAAATTACCTAAATTGTTTTCTAAAACAGCGGCAGTATTTTTCTACTTTCTTTATAACTTACTCATTCAGCTTTTTAAATTATTTAGAAATAGCGAATTTTTCCGACGTTTGTTAGTTTCCAAAATGTAAGCGGATTAATTTCTTTGATACAGTTCTTATTTAGCGTTCTTAGCATTATTGGCCCTATTTTAGGACATTTTAAACTCGATTATTTCCTTTGTAGTATTTGTATTAAAGTGACTTGTTTTGATTGGTATTTATATGATATTTTAGACCTAGAAACGGAAATACGTTTTTCGAATGTTTCATGATACACTCAGAAGTTGATAGGATTATACAAATACATTTTAGTATCTCATTTGAGGTCAATTGGGTTCTTAAGAATGGGAAAAAGTGAATTATAAAAGTGGTTTTTGTTTCACGCAATCAACGCTTTACATTAGCATATAAAGACCAACGGCGGATCCACGCTGTGGGTTTATTTGTGTGTCAAAACTGCTCGAATTTCCTCACTCATGTTGTTTAGAACTGAATCGAATTTTCAATTCTCTATTCAACGATGCCAGAACGAATTCTGTGGTTCAAATGGTTCTTGAGAAACTTCGAAAAATGCAGCGCTATGTTTGAGTCGATTTTGTAACTCAAAAACAACACGCAAATCTAAAACTGCTTGAAATCATGACTTTTTTTTGAAAACCGCCAACATTTCCTTATCGATGGTACACTTTCTAGAAAGGCCATTTAGTTCTCTCTGGAGGGATGTAAAAATGAGCGTTCTTGGTCAGTTTGTTTCCAAGAAATGAGCAAAAACGGGACGAAAAACTTGGAATTTTGGCGTAATCTTGAACCTATAAGTGTCTGATATTCAAATTTCACTTTCTGGGTCAAAACTACCCGAATTTCCTCACTCAAGTTGTTATAACTGAATCGAATTTTCAATTGTCTATCCATTGAGGAGAAAACGAATCCTGTTGCTCAAATAGAGCTTGCGAAACTTCTAAAAAAGCAGCGTTATGTTTGGGTCGATTTTGCAACTCAAAAAAATACACGCAAATCTAAAACTTCTTGAAATCAAGCATTTTTTGCGAAAACTGCCAACATTTCCTTATTGATGGTTCATTTTATAAAAATACCATTTAGTTCTCTCTGGAATGATGTAAAAATGAGTGATCTTGCTTAGTTTGCTTCCGAGAAATGAGCAAAAACGGGACCAAAAACATGAAATTTTGGCATAATCTTGCACTTAAGGGACTGATATTCAAATTTGGCTTTCTGGGTCAAAACTACAAGAATTTCCTCACTCATGTCGTTATGACTGAATTGAATTTTCAATTCTCTATCCAACGATGCCAAAACGAATTCTGTGGTTCAAATGGTTCTTGAGAAACATCGAAAAATGCAGCGTTATGTTTGAGTCGATTTTGCAACTCAAAAACAACACGCAAATCTAAAACTGCTTGAAATGAAGACTTTTTTGAGAAAAAATGCCAACATTTGCTTATCCATGGTTCACTTTCTAAAAAGGTCATTTAGTTCTCTCTGGAATGATGTAAAAATAAGCGTTTTTGCTCATTTTGCTTCCGAGTAATGAGCAAAAACGGGACGGAAAATATGAAATTTTCCCATAATCTTTCACCTAAGTGTCTGATATTCGAATTTCGCTTTCTGGGTCAAAACTACTCGAATTTCTACTACATGACCTCCCTAACTTGAAAGCTGGATCCGCCCCTGATAAAGACTAAAYTGAAAATGTTTTAGAACGAGCGTTTTTACAAGAGGTAAAGAGTGTTCTTCTATTTAACAAWATGTCTTATGCTGCCTCCTTTGAATTTAAACTTCATATTCGCAAGCCATGAACATTTTWAGGCGAAAATTATATCATAAAAGCTCTAAAATTTACTTGTTRWCWATTATGTTATGTTCCCTATYGTTGTWATGTTACCTATTAAGACAAGAAAATGATTTTCTGGTAACTWTAATCTTTAGTCATTAAACAGCTAAATATTTCGTCAAAAGAACGCAAAAATATAAATGGWGCGTTTTTTTGGGGCAAAAATAAAACGTAGATTTGCAACCAGATTTCCAGATTTWTGAAKCAAAAAATATTAAGAAATATTAGGAAAAAATAGGCATTCTTAGAAGAGTATATTCCGAAAAAGAGAAAGATGGTTTTTTTATGAATCCACATTCACTAAGCGAAAATTGATAGAAGTATAAAATTAAAAACTAAATACACTCTACAATCTTCTATTTATGATACAACAGCAGAAAAARRAAATGTTTGCAAYACAATATGTATATTATCGGTGGAAAATGAAGATTATCCTCCACGTAGAATGGAGCGCGATTGAGAATAACTAACAATTATTTTTCGRGAATAAATTAAATAACTATTTAGCGTTTAGCGTAGTTTCTACTTTTACTAGGCAACTCTATTAAATAAGAAGGTGTTGGTTCTGATGTCATAATGTAATTTCAAATAAGTACCTACTTCGTTACTGGTTTATGCAAATCGGGTTGTTTTATTTGGTCGCCGGTTTGTCATCCATTTGGGACTGGCTGAATCGGATCCGGCAATCGACTTTTGGTTGGATAACAACGCGTTAGTTATCATTACACCCACTTCGCAAACTGTTTCAATAATTTGCTTTCAATTTGCAAATGCAAAAGTCACATAGTTTCGCTTGCTGGCAGAAAAAACGCCCACATCAGTTTTTTCCCCATTTGCTAATGAGCTTTGTTTTGCAACACCTTTCTTGGTGATTAGGCAGTTGTTAAAAAAATTGGCATATAGGTTTCAACATAAAATCGCATTTGAACTTTGAGAACGAATCGCGCAATTTTGCTATAAAATCAGTCGGATATTTATGCATATGTATACTTATTCCTGTTGCCTTGAAATTGAAATTCAAGCAATATATTTTTCTTAGCAAGCGGGTGTTAATTTGTTTGGTTGGACCAACGCAGATTTTTTGGAATTTAAAGCAGGTTATTGAAAATCTAAGAAATACAGCGTCAAATTTGAATTAAGCCAAACCATAGTCGATTCGAGGAATCGTTCTTGGCAATGGCAACTAATGAATCAATTTGGGAATATCATTAATATTCTTCTTTATTAAAGTTACAAAAAAACCCGGTACTTCCAAAATATGCGAAGGTCGCTCTCAAATGTTAAAGTGTCTAACAAATCTTTGCTGGTTTATCGTCAACATATTAAATTGATGCAGACACTATGTAATTTGTCAAGAATTTATGCCTGTATATATATTTACAAAAAAATCGACTTATTTAGTTAAAATTACGTTTAATATATGAAGTCAACATATTTTATTAGCTAAGGAAATCCTTGATGACTGTTGTACTGAACAATATCAAGGCTGATTGTATGTAGGACGTACGTACGTTATTTATGTATGTGTAGAATAATAGCAATCATGATTGCCTTTTATAGTTCGATAGGCCTATAATTAATGCTCCTGTTCGATATTAATAACTAACGTTAATTTGAAGATATTTTACAATTTACTATAACTGTAACTCGACACGCAAGACTATTCAAACCGTATCCCCCTTATTACTTAGGTATTCAAGAAAAATTGAAGTATCTAAAAAAAATATTTAATTTTGACTGAAAAGATCATTTCTTTACTGTAAATATTTTTTTAAGAAGCCGTTTATTAATATAATCAATTTGGATCCTTGGCATTAAATAGTCGCCTTAATCGATTAGATGCAATTTCTTGTTGCAAGAAGAAGATTAGAACAATTTCTTGTTGTTTTGGATATTATCCAGTTACAACTATTTTTTTATACGCAACTTTCACTTGATGGCGTTTCTTCCAGAATTTCTTTCAACCACTTTTCGAGACTCGCTAAGTTCACGCTTCTCCATCTATCACTTCGGTGCGTATCGGAATCAACAATTGCTGGTTGAACTGATTGTGTCCCACGTCCTGTTTTTGTCACAAAAAATCTATGAAGTCGATATTCAAATTTTAAATAGCGGCTTGAAATCGATGAGGCTGTTGTTACTAAAACATCCTGAATTTCGCCCAAATTAATTCTATCCATATGGTTTATAACTGTAAACCTCAGTAAACCTGAAAAAAATGTTCCTTCCTATTAACAATTTGCAATCAAAAGTGTAATGTTGTATAACAACTTTTATGAGTAAGTGTAAGTGACCTTTCGTCCGTTTTCTTCACTTTTTGGGGATCCACTCTGGTTATCAAAGCCGCTGGAGCTCCAGGTAGAGAAAAAAAAACAGGATAAACTAAGAAACTTATACTTAACACACAATGCTAACGAATTCTTTCTCCAAAAATTTATTCAAATACAGCTCAAAGGCTTTCTAACTCCGCCTTCAGCTCTGTCATCATTATCCGTATTATTTTCGTAAGTCTATTTATTGTTCTGTTTCTTTGAAGCAGCACTTGGAGAAGAAGTTTTTAGTTTTGTTTTATAGTAAATGCATAACAAAACCGTCTTTATATAAACTTTAGCCAAGTAGAGGTCAAACGAATTAAAAGACTTAAGATAAAATTATAATAACTATGCCTTAGTCCTATGTTTGTTGTAGTTTTAAACTCGTTGGTGATCAAGTAATATTTCATAGAAAACCAACAGTTTGCGTTTATTAATCAGATGGAAACATTCATAATTATAAATGTAAATCGGGATTCTCAGAACCAGGAATTTTATTTTGAGCTCCAAATTTTTCTTGTTTGAGTTGATTAGCTTTCTGGGATAAAAACGCCAAATGGCCTTTCGGGCATTTATTAGCGTAATGCCCCTTAGAACCACACTTGTAACAAGTGACATCCTCCAATTTCTTTAGCTGCGGTCTGGGCACACCTAAGATTTCCCGTCTATTTTCGTCGCTATTCATTAACATTTGCAACTCTTTCTGGTGATGGTGTTCGGACATTTTATTGCAATGAATTGCTTTATGTCCATGCTCTCCACAAAAATGGCAAATGATTACGGGCGGTTTGTTCTTATCTTGCGTTTTTTGATCTGGCGGAGCGGGTAACTCAAAACGTGGATGCATATATTTGCACTTTGAACCATCTGGGCAAAAGCCGGCTAAGTAATTGGTGCACAACACTCTCCTTACATGCCTGCAATTGATAAAAAAAAACACTTAAGTAACTGTTTAATTTCTTCTCGACCATTGAATGTATTATTCAAAATTTACTTAATGGTATTTTTAAGATAAAAAACATTGATGACTGAAAAAACCTTATTAAGCACAATTATTAACGTAACATTTCTTACGCATTCTAGTTCGAATAACAGTCTCTGGAGTGAAATGGTTAATTTGTCTTAGTAAGGCAGTCAGTAGCATGCACTTACCTATGCCTGCAATGGGGGCCATGTCTGCAAAATCCTCTATCATACCATGGACAGTCTTTAATTTTGCTCTCGGGATCAATGTGAAGAAACGGACACTCTTTGTTATGACAGGCATTAAACCGTGAATAGAAATAGCATTCCGGCATTTTGGTCATATCATATTCATGCAAGAATTCACACTGGTCACCTATAAATGTGTACGTACTCAGATTTATATTAGATGTTATTATATTTGACTTTTTAACTAAATTGATTGTATTAACAAAGCTGTTAGGAAAGAATATTTGTGGCTGCTTATAACACGTACCTTTTTTACAAAGCCCTCGAAGCCAATGTTTGCAGACGATAGTTCTGTCCCCTCTAATATGACGAAATGGGCAATTGATGCCCTTAACGCATCCTTGTTGTGTGCCGTAAAACTGACATACAGCTGTGGTTGATTCTAGAAGCAAAAAAGTGTCTCTTTAAGGTTTTATGCCAGCGCTTATAAGTATAGCTTCTGTGGACTGTTTGTGAGAATTGCGCAAAAAGGAGTTGCAGTGGCTGTACAAGAAACTGGAAGCTTTGTGATATGACAAATTGTAAAGAAAAGCCTCAAAGAGCTAAGAATGAAAATGAATACATGTAAGAGAAAAGCAAAACCATGCGGAATTCAGACGAGAAAGTTAGAATTAGGTATCTAGAGAAAATAATAAAACAGCAGGTTTTCAGTAAGTTGCATTGAAACCGAAAAAAATATATCTTAGTACCAAAGGTGAAGTTCAATGAATACATCACGCAGGTTAAGTAACGACCGAAGACAATATTCTACGTACATACATACCGCAAGATATTGAGACTTTACAGACTTAAGAAATGTTGAAATACAAGTGTAGGACGACCAGGAACAGATGAGTTGTATGAACTGAACCTGGAGGTTCGACAGGATCGGGGCATGTAAGATCCACCTTTACTTGCCCCGATCGTGTCGACTACCATCTGGGCCTTTACCCTAATGTAGCAAGTTGGAAGAAAAACCTTCCCACACAAAGTAAGACAAAGGTTTCAGCTAAAATGGATTGCTCCACTTAAATCTGGTCTCAACATTTTAAAGGTACCGCGACTCAGAACTACGGTTAGATAAAAACTGTCTTACTGTCCATTCCAGGAAATGGAAGCGGTAAAGCCCCATACTGTTCCTCTAGAGCAATCTCGATGTCAAATTTAAAGTGTTCCACATTGGCTATTAGGAATTCCATTGTAACACTTCCCCCTAATACTTCCTATTAAAGTAGCACCAGAAAAATATGAAAGTATCACTTATTTATAAACACAAACATAACTTGAACCGACTTACGGATAATTGAGGTTACGAGCAGAGACAAGACTTGTCTCTGTTACGAGTTTTTATCTTCTCCTTTATCATAGCGGTGCGATGCCAACTCTACCGATTTAGAAATCCTCCACCGTTATTATTCGGATGTTCAATGAAATTTACCGATATTTAATTTGAAAATTACATACATAAATAAGCAGGGTGGTCCATTTTAAAAGACCCAGTAAAATATCTGATGGCAAATTATAGAAAATACAATAAAATGTTTTATCCAAAGGTTGTGTATTTGCTAGGGGAAAACCCGAAGGTGATATCAATTTTTTTGCAGATGGCGCTGTTAACGTGACGTCAGGTGGGAGACAACTTCAAGTTTTTAAATAGATTGGTATACATGTATTTTTTACAATCAAGTTCGATTCAAGATTTAATTCTAAATGAAAAAGTATTAAGGGGGTATATTTTTGAATGTGCGTATATCATCGAAAGGGAAATTTCAATCTCCCACTGAACACAATCGGTGAAGAAATCTAGATTTCTTCTATAATTAGCGGAAATTCGAGACTAATTCGTGTGGCGCCCACTAGACCGGGCGCAAACAGCATTGCACAGGAGCATATGTCAGATACCAATCTATAACCTCTGTGATCTGTGTTCTCGTCACAACTCGTATTTTGTTTGTTTGGAATATGAAGACATTTTCTATATTTTTAAATAAAAATGCGGAAAAAGTACGCGTTTCTTACTATATTTTTGTTTATACAATGTGTTGAAATTTACCAGTGCACGCACCTGAAAGGTACTTTCAGTTCTAGTGACTTTTTCAAATTTCTTATCAAATTTGGGGTGCAGAAAACCGCTGGACACTCGCCTGATACATCGCAGGGCTACATTTTTGGGAATATCACTTCGAAGAGCCATCTCTTTGTGCCTATTACTTTTGTAGTTTTGCGCAGATCTCACTTTATAGATTATTATAAGAACAGAGTCATTTTTGATAAAGATGAGGCTTGCAACAGAATGTTTAGCAAACTGAACAAAAGGGCATATGATCCTCAATGTAGTCACGATGGAAAAGATTACTTAAGACGGATTCCCTGTCCCACTGGTGAATTGTGTGAAGATGAAGATGATCAGTGGCATGTTGTGAATAACCATCAGTTTACATATGTTTTTAAAGATTTTAAAGAGCCAGCGTAAGTTTTACTGCATTGCTTATTTCCAATAGATACATGACAACCACATTACGAGTGATCATCATACATATTCATGTTACAGGACAACTTTATTTGCATCTAATCATGAATTTATCGATTCGTATCAAGCATATCTACCCTGGTAAATGATAAGTTTAATTAATCTCATATTATGTGGACCAGATAATATACCTAAAATATGGAATACTCATTTGTATAGCTTGATGGCCCATCTAGTTTTGGTGCTAATATTTAACACTTTCACCTATTATAGTATTTTATTGCTTGCGGTTACAGTGCTGTTGCAAATAATGGCTATTAACATCGAGATAATGTATTTTTATGTTTCAAATTGTTACTGAATTAATTGATTTGATCCTGTTGAATTGCACAAAAGTAATCATCGGTTGTTGCTGACAATTTATCAGTTCAAGCGTAAAAATTTGAAAGTTTAGAAATCAGTACGCCGACTTACCGATCAACAGAACGCAGAACTTTCATATCTTGCAGGACATTAATTTGTAGGAGGGCGTGATCATCTAGATCAACAGTTCTCAAACTTTCTTGGTGACGATTTTAAAAACCTTATTGTTAACCGAACCCTATTTAAACCCTAACTAAACTAAAATCTAAACCAGTTATATGCGTATTGTTTATTAATAATTTTAAAGGTTCCTCTTTAATATCTACTCGGCCGGAGCACCGGGACTCGCGGATCACACTTTAAGTAAGGTTGATCTAGATCAAGGTTTCTCAAACTTTTTCTATAATGGAACACTTCGCAAACCCAAAAATTTTAACCCATTAAATTTTTAAAATTTAAGTTAAATTTGAATTTTTGAAATGCGTTTTTTATTTTATTATGCTAAGTTTTTATCTAATGTGAGGTGCGACATCAAACCTATTCCTATACTTTAACGATTTGTTGCAGAATAATAAGAAAATCTCGCTTCACATAAATAGGTTGTAGAAAACAGTACAATAGTATAATCGTAATAGCTTGTTTTGATCAATTCGAGAACTCGTCTGACAAACTTGACCAACAATCTGTGAAAGGCTGATCTCGGTATCAATTTTTGCTTTAAAATTGAACAAATTAGATGTTCAGTCATCTGCGCTTAAGGATACCAGTTTAGCGGTCACTGAAAATGGATTCCGAACCCAGGAATGGTCGTTAGTTATATAAATTTAGTTAAAACATGAATTAGAACTAGTTATATTAAAACCCTTCTAAATTATCGCRGAAAATAGTTTGGRRAACTCTGATCTAGATAATTATCGAAWATTTTTCTTGAAGACATRTGGGCGACTATTTATTTAATAAACATTGGGACTTTTGAAATTTATTAACGAAATATTTYCGTTGAAAATTTATAGTTCCGAAAAAAATCAACTTTGGGATAAGGCATACTTACGCCAATTACACACGTAGTATTTCCAATTTCCGAATTTCCCATTGTTAATGGTTYACCCTGTACATTAGACGAATCAACTGTCGGAAGAAGTTCGCKWYATTTTTCRCTCGCTTTATTAAAGCGGACTCTTCCTTAATGCAAGCAGACGGTCCGTCGTCTGCTTACACTAAGCACTAAGACTTATTACAAAATAAGACACAATTCACGATAAATTCCTTAAAGCAATTACTAAAGAAACGCACAAACATGACAAAGATATCAAAAAGAAAGGACAAATAACGTTCGGAATAAGGCAAAATCTAATGCCTTCGGCAGGATTTAAGCAGTACTTCAATTTTTACTTAGTCCAAAAATTATTTGTCCGCTTAAGCCGCGGAAAAATCCCTTTCATTTGAWTTATGGGACCCTAAAAATCTTCATTTGATATCAGAAAGACTCATCAGTTGCAGACAAAGTGGAAAAGCCATCCACGCAACTGGAAGATTACAGAACACCTTTGTCTCACAAGACATAGACAATCCCGCCTTCTAATCCCAATAACGACTTTACCAGAACATAACCGAACTAAGCTTAGATTTATATTTTTATTTATAAACTACAAAGTTAAAACTGACCCAAACTATCCCATCATAGCACACACTTGCAAGGACAGAAAGGCCGCTTGGTCTTTGGCCGATAGCCTTTTTCGAAGCAAATAAATAACATTATTACTCGCTAAAATTACTTGAGAACTTACTAATTTAGAATTAAAATTCTAATCTAGAAGTAACTTTTTAAATTTGTTACAGTTTTTGGTATGTGTCCATGGTGGCTTGTTACCACAATACGACCACATGTGAATGGCACCACTACGATTCGCACAGTCCTTATGAAATCAATTATGATATCTGGCTGGTAAACGGAAGCCCCAACAGCTCAGCATTCAGTACATATCAGTTTTCATTCGACAGGCAGAGCACTTTAGAAATGTACATTTTATTTTGGTTGTGCTACTTGGTATTAGTTCCTCTGCAATGTCATGCGGTGAAAATACAGAAGCATCCCGTTACCAGGTATAGTCCTTCTGTACAGTGTGATTCCAAACTCTATAAAACTGATAGTTTGCTTGTATGGTTAAAAGAAGACCTTTTGCTGGAGGTTTTGCACTCAATCCGGATTCATTGAGTCTTCTTCCTACCGTTTTTTGAAGAAATTGCAACATTTAGGGCATTTTGAATTACATTTTTTCTCAATTCCGGTAAAAATCCCATTTCTTAAAGCTTGCAGCCGTATAAAACGAACGTCCACTTGGTTTGTGGATCTTGATCGGCCTTGCTCTGGTCGTCTAGCTTGGCCACCTGTTTCCCTAAAACGCTGAAGACATCGACCAATGGTGGCGTGATAAACCCAACCTCCTCTCACGTCCACCCTTCTTCCAACAAGGGGACAATTTTTTTCCGCATTAAACTCACTTCAATTTTTCCTGGGGACATTTCAAAGCGAATACACTTTATGACACACACAAGTTAGGAAAAAGCAAGAAAATTTAATCGAAAATGTATAGGTGGTGCGCTAATTTTGTCCACCAGTGTATTTCCCTCGAGTATACATTAAACAGTAGAGGCGATCAGATGCATCTCTGTCTCACTCATTTTTTATATTAAGATTTGAGTTTGATTATTTATATATTATTTGATCTGCATGTCATTTTGGTGTTTCTTCTTACTTTGTCAATTTGATGCCAAATAAGTTGGAAGTAATGCGAAGATCTGCAGCTTTTATGCCTCTTGAATCAATACGTTGGACATGGCTGACAAGGTCGAACGATCTGCTTAGGTATAGATTTGCGTTGAGATATCTGCATCTTTCAATGAGTTCTTGCACAGTGAACCGAGCTTCTTTTGTACTCCTTTTTGTACTTTTTTGGAAAAATTATTGTCCGAAAACAGCCGTGCTTTTCTTCTGAAATGGGGAAGACGAGGTCATAAAGAAGTCACCTGATATTTCAAAGCACTTCCAAGAAAAACGGCAAATTGTTTTATAAAAAGTTCAATTAATTTTCGCTAATTTCTTCTCGCTTAATGGATCGATGTTTGCCAACATCAATCCAACGATCCATGGATGCCGTTGAGATTCTTCATAAGAAAATTATGGAATCTTATTTTTTTCTAAATAGAAGTTTTGCAATGTTTCATTTGTAATGTTTAGCTATACCAACACCATCCCAAATGACCATTGAACACTTTAGATATCGCTAAATAGCAAAGTTGAACACGAGGTGAGTATGCGAAGCGACAGTAAAAAACAAGAAGAGTTTCAAATAAAAGTGGAGGTGTATTTTGAAGCCCTAAACTATAATAAAGCGTGGTTTATATCCGCGGTACAAGGTCAAACAATATGTTTTTAAACGGATGATTAACAGGGTCATTTTTTAGTTACTTTTACTCCTTCAGGGTACAGGCTTCTAGAAGCGTTAATGAGTTCGAAATCGGTCCTGGAAATGCTTGCTTGTGACAAAAAACCGTCGCTTGTACCACACAAAATTGAAAACGATTTTCAATTAATTTACTATTTTATGATTACTAGGGACCATGAAATTGTTTTTGATTCTAGATTATTTACTGCTAGTCTGGTGCTTGACTTTGTAGCCTTAAGTTTAAATGTAATTCATACTTTGAAATTTGCGATGAACGGCGAAGGATATGAAAAAATCCAAATGATTGGAGATATATGTGATATTCTTTCACGGGTAATATTCACACTGTTACCCACTCTTTGTATTTTAACTTTAAGTTAACTTTCAGACATCATTCATGTTGCTTTTGCTATTGTTGGCGAAAGGATGGGCAGTTACGCGATTAGAATTGACCTGGAAACCATTAGTGTTTGCCATATGGTTATGTTATGGTATTGTACATATTTTGTTGTATGTTTGGAACTTGGTAAAATTGCAAAATACGTTATTGTTAAATTTCATATACTAGGTAACGATTTAATTTAATTTTAGACTGAAGTAGACATAATAGAAGACGTAGATGAATACCAGACTTGGCCGGGATGGCTGATAATTGTTTTTAGATCATTGATTATGTGCTGGTTCTTATACGAATTACGCACAACTATGCTTTACGAACATAATACTCAAAAACTGAATTTTTTGCTTCATTTTGGGGCATCCAGTTTAGTTTGGTTTATCTATCTGCCCATTTTGGCCCTGATAGCATTACATGTATCTGCGCTATGGAGATTTAAACTACTTTTAGGTGAGTTTGCATACTTATACCTTTATCAATATCAGCTTTCGGGGATATAGTTGGACTGGTGGCGTCATATTAATCTTTTGATGCAAATATGTTTTTTACAGGTATAACATATTCAGCTGATTGTTTTGCATATTGTGTTATGGCTCATTTGCTCTGGCCGACCCGATCCGAACAATATTTTCTATTGAAAGGACCGTCTTCAGTGGACCTTGAAGAATTGGATGAATTCAACGAAGCTCCACACATTGTCAATAATTCTTATACGTCCCTCAGTAGTGCTGGATCAATAGATGTCGCGCATTATGAAGACCAACCCAAAAGTAAACCAGCCCATGCGTGAGACTTTTGTTCATTTTGTGTTTGCCAAACCCCAAATAGCCGATTTGGATGAAAATACCAAGACCGTTAACGATCTAAGTTGTATTGTGGTCTTAATAGAAATTAGGGAAAAACTGTACTTGCTTCATTATGACAAAATGTCAATTCAATTAACTCAATTGTAAGTATCTTTAGGTGCGGTACCTTAACCCCTGGATGATTTTATTTGGAAAATTTGCCTACTGAAAGTCATTCTGGTTTCAACTACTATTCGGCGTCGATTGCAAAAGCATGCAGCTTAGTGATGGAAAATTGTGGGTGAAATAACAAGTTTTGAGTTAAAGTCGTCAAAAGAAACTTTTTATCTTTATAGCATACATTTGAAAAATGTTTTAAATAAATTTACACGGTGGATAATATGCGACAATTGAGCAACGTGATACTGGAACACTAGTCGCGCCAATAGTTTTCGTAAATTTCCGTACGGAATTAATAGATGATTACTGAATATTGAATGACTCCTGAATAATTCCATTCAAACTCATTTAAAGCACGGACTTCTGGGAAGGTTTCAGGCCGCTTATGGGGTTGCTGGTGACATGTCAAAACCTGTATTTTTGGCCAAACTGATCTATGGAAAGGATGTGATTTATCATTGTTAGCTTTTGCATTTTTGATAGCAGAAAACCATTTAACACACCTCTTCCGGCTTGTATTTTTTTGTATGGTTTTGATATCGATTTTATACACCGTGTATATAATTGAATTGTTAATCTCCCAAACATATTCTGACGAATGCCAATATTATTTTTGATGCGAATTCACTTAAATATTGATTTCGCATAAAAAATAATCATACTGTCTTTCTGTTCTCTTTTGTATATTTAAGATTTTGTTGAAATTATTGGAGCATTATTGGAATTGATCCAATTTCTGTTCTTGTTATAGTTTGTTAACTATACTATTAAAAATAATAAAAAAGCTGCACAAAGCCTTTTTCATTTCAATTATCACCCGATCAGCATTTTCACATAAATTGCCTTCTGCATCTGGAACAAATTATTTCGCTTTGTTTAAAACGCCGGGTTTCTGTAACTACTACTTAGTTTGAAATCAAAGGTGCTTTAAAATATGAACGAAACTGGAGCAATTGAAGAAAATGGTTCCTCTCGTTTATCAAAGCGCTAGTTGCGCTTTCAGCCTTTAAGTGCTACCAATGATCAACCAGGCGAAGTTTGAGCCGGAAGCTAATGATCGAAGCCAGACGGGAACGAAAAACACTGTAAGTACTTCTTAAGTTAAGCCCTTCTATCTAGTCCCTTTGTTTGAGGTCTTTGATAGTGATTAAACTTAGTATGTCGAAGACGTTTACTTTTAAAGTCACAAAAACAATCAATTTTTACTTCAAAAAACATTTCAAATTTATTCATAATTTTACGTGGTAGAATTAAATGCATTTATTTGCAGTACAAAGTGAAAATTCTAAAATTAAAAAAATAACAATAACAATACAACAAATAAGCTCTTCAAGCGATTGAGATGAATAAGCCGAACTCCTCTTATCACCTTAAAACAAGTTTTTTATGTTCAACATTTGTTTCACATGTGAAGGCTTTTCAGACTAGAGTTCCACTCCTATTCAATCTCAAGAAAAGGCCTAAAAAAAAGCCGTTTGACGAAACTGTTCTAATTATTCTGATAATTCTATGTAAATTAAGTCTGCATCTTGTCGCTACTATTTTTCAATATTTATTGGGAGTTCGTCTTTGCACCCACACTAGTAATTTTCTTCCATAAGATATCAGGGCTTTTGCAAAGAAACTTAGCAGTGTTTCTTCCAAAACCCTCAAATGCAGAGTTTTGGAGAGTTTGACTACACAATTTTGGAAACGCTTTGCAGGCTGTAAGCATAATTCTTCAATTTAATTGTTTTTTTTTGCTCTTTTACTTTCCAATTTGTATTAACATTTACGTTTGATTAAGAGTTTTTGAAAAAATAATGCTTGCAATTTCTTTCATCAGTTTCCTGGGGATTGATTTGTTATTTTCTAATCCGAATTTTTATTTAGTATCCTCTTTAATGGACAACGCCCAGTGGATGATCACAAAGTTGGATGGAGTCTAATGAACATGATGCTTTCCAGTCCCACCTAAAGACTAATGTGCTTAGGATAGGTTAATTTTAAGTTAGAAAATATAGTAAAGAGTACTAAGCATGTGATTAAATTGTTGAAAATAAAAAAATTAAATTGCATTGCTGTTTTTTTCTCGCTTATTTCCTTTCAGTTCATTGCAAAAAAAACTACTTTTTGCATCAGGAGAGCAACGAAGGAGGAACAGCATCGGAATATCGAACGAAGGAGGCGGTGTCATAGTCATAAAATAGCCATTAATAATCGCAAATAACGTAACGCTAAAACTACTTCGAGTGTCTTAATCAAAAATCCCATTTGCATCAGGATAGCAGAATATCCAAAGAGGTAGCGACAAGAAATTATCAGTAGCAGAATTAGATAGAGATTCATCGCAATTATCGTAACTCTAAACTATATTTTGACTAAAATCCGGATTGTATCAGGAGAACAGCATATTCAAGGAGGTAGCGACCACGAATTATCAGTAGCAAAAATAGACTCTCATCGCAAATAACGTAACGCTAAAATACTGTGTCTGACCATTTGTATCAGGAGAGCAGAATATTCAAGAAGGTAGCGGCAAGCAAATTTAAGGAGGAGAAATAGATACTATTCGCAAATAACGTAAAGCTAAAATACTGTGTCTGACCATTTCCATCAGGAGAGCAGAATATTCAAGAAGGTAGCGACAAGCAAATATCAAGAGCAGAAATAGACACGAATCGCAAATAACGTAAAGCTAAAATACTGTGTCTGACCATTTGTATCAGGAGAGCAGAATTTTCAAGAAGGTAGCGACAAGCAAATATCAAGAGCAGAAATAGACAATACCAGTAGCAGAATTAGACATTCATCGCAATTAACGTAACGCTAAAACTATAGTTTGACTAAAATCCGGATTGTATCAGGAGAACCGCATATTCAAGGAGGTAGCGACCAAGAATTATCAGTAGCAAAAATGGATTCTAATCGCAAATAACGTAAAGCTTAAATACTGTGTCTGACCATTTGCATCAGGAGAGCAGAATTTTCAAGAAGGTAGCGACACGCAAAAATCAAGCAGAAATAGACAGACATTTATCGGAAATAACGTAACGCTAAAAATACTGTGTGTTAACTAAAATCCCATTCGCATCAGGAGAGTAAATTCAAGAAGGTAGCGACAAGCAAATATCAAGAGCAGATATAGACATTAATCGCGAATAACGTAACGCTAAAAAAAACTGTGTCTTGACTAAAATCACATTTGGATTAGGGTTGCAGAATATTCAGGAAGGTAGCGACAAGCACATACCAATAGCAGAAATAGACATCCATCGCAATTAACGTAAAACTATGTTGTGTGTCTTGACTAAAATCCGGTTTGTCTTAGGAGAGCAGTCCCATTCAAGGAGGTAGCGACAAAGAATTATAGTAACATAGACATTAATCGCAAATACCGTAACGCTGAAAATACTGTGTGTCTTGAAATCCCATTTGCATCAGCAGCGCAGAATATCGAAGGAGGTAGCGACAAGGAATTACCAGTAGCAAAAATAGACAGTAATCGCAAATAACGTAACATTAAAATTGACTTGTGTGGCACTCTACAAGTATGGGATTTGCTTGAAGAAAGCCGAACACTCAGGAAGGTAGCGAGAAAGAAATATCGTCAGCAAAAGCACATTAGTCGAAAATAGCGTTTTGTTAACGAGGTGCTCATAATTAGAACCTGCAGCAGAATGTTTCAAGGGATATAGGTGTATATAAAATAATTAAAAAAAAAAATTTAAACAATAAAAACTCCAAATAAACACAACCAATTATTTTCTACGAGTCTCTATTAAGTAGCACTTTCTCAGCGCTACGTCCTTGCAGCGCGATTGATTTCGTTTTTGTCGTTAGAGAGATGATTTGGAATACTCAGCAAATAATCCAAAAAATATAACACTGATGACGTTGTAATTAAGCAATGAAACTCCAAATACTCGCACAAGCCATTCTAAAGAAAAATTAAAATTTATAAATATGCCTCATACATTCCTGTTCCTTTAAAGAATATTTCACGATGTCTACTAGTACGGATGATAATGCAGATGACCAGCTAGTAATTGCTTAAGACAAGGAAGGCCTACAGTATAACTCCTGAAAGCATATAGAAAATGAGGAGTTGAGGTAAATTGAACAAAACCCAATATCTGTGTAAGGGAAGAACCAGCAGATGACCTGGATCTAGAACATAAAAAAATAAAAAAGGGAGATGAGTGCATATGTCTGAGAATAAAAATGACAAAGATATGAATTAACGCAAGACTTTAGGACAATTTACTAGCAGTTGAAATTTATTTTTGAAGAAGAGTAGCGAGAAAACTAGATTAGAACACGTGAGAAATGAGGACCTAAGAAGTCAAATGAAAGTACAGAGTGGAAGGTGGAAGACATTGAAGAACAGCAATTAATATGCTAAGAACATGTAAGACTTATGGGGGAAGAAGGACTTCGGAGGAAAATATTGGAATGTATACATCCAGAAAAAAAGGGAAAAACCGCCAACAACATGGATGTAAAATATTACAAAATACAAAAAAGAAACCAAAGCTGTATAACGCTCCGAACAGGATTTATTTAAAAATCTATCACACGAAATAGGCTTCGCGGCCATTCCTTGAAACTGTCGAGTCTTTCGGGTTTTTAGGCTGTCGTAGATTAGAATTTCCTCCCCAGCTTTCGCAAGTAGGTACGAGTGGCTCGCATCTTCACAGATGGAAAAAGCTGAATGAACGACTTATTCATCATATCAAGACTACGCAAAGGTAGGAGAAAATATTTTCCGCTCGCAACAACGCCCAACAAGTGTATACACATGAGGGAGCCTCTTCTCCCTACTTCTCTACCCCAAGAGCTCTGGATTCGATCCCCAATGCGCGCGCAAAACTTTACCCGGCCAGCCATGGGCTACCTACTTGTTACACCAAAGTCCGGAGGTCTTTCGCGTACAAGCAAACTTGTTAAGCGCTAACCGGATGATTTCAAAATTTCGCGAAAAGCTAACAAGTTGCTAGGCATGTTTCGTCGAAACTGCCCTTCCGGAAAATCGCGTGTGCCAAATGCTTAATAAGACACTCGAGAAACATTTCAAATTGTACAGTGATTATTGAAAGTCCTACAGATTTTAATATTTATAAAAGGACTGCTTCGGAAATTGATAACGGAGTAAGTCGTCCAATGGTGGATGCTATGAGAAACTGCACTGACCATTCTTCCGTTCGGTGATTCCTGATTCCGCCTAATCTGAGTTACAGTTTTATTTCGCTCGTTCTTTAGTGGATCAGTTTTAATTGTGCTGAAGTATTGACTGATTAATTTTGCTTAATGATGGTTGCACAGGATGAAGTCTAAAGGTAATTTTTCCTTATTCTATAAACAGGAAAGGTGTCAGGACACCATATTTCATCACAGTCATCGACCAATATAAGCAATGACTTTGTATGGTTTAAGTTTAAGTAACGTATGAGCGCTTTTTCGGGTACCCAATGAATTTCAACGTATCTTCTAAAGCATTCAAATAATATATTCGTTAATATTATCAATGAGCTGTTTCTTTGGATTTTAGTTCAGAAGTTTTGCTGCTTTTCGCTGATCCGTACTGAACGGAACAAAAAAATATAATAATGGCAATTTTTGTAGACTGAGAAGTTTAAATTTGCTAAAGTCTTAAGACGTCTTAAGTGGCTTTAGCAGTACCTATCGGCATGTGCTAATAACCCGAATTTAGCTTGAGCAAACGTATGCAAGTGGCCCCCAATTGGGCTATTTTGCAAAGTAAATAATAGTATAAAAAACCAATTAATTTACAGTTCAAAAACAATAAAGAAATTTATATTTCCTTGAGAAGTAATTCCTTATACAGAGAGAAAATGTGGCAGAAGGTTTGAGAAGCTGCAACATTTTTATTGAGAGCGCCATAATATTAATTATGACTAAACACACCAGAATGTTTTTTGTTGACTTTTAGAATATTCTTCAGTAATAATGAAGAAACGAAAATTATATTGTATTTTCTCAATTTACGTCTCATTTGGGTAAAAATCAACCTTCTAATAAAAATAACTTAAAAACTTAAGGTTCTCAGTCTCGAGGAATTTTTCCTAATGCTGACTAGTCCAGATTTTTGAAATGCCTGACCCGCATTGTAGCTGCGTTATCAGTGTTACCCTCGTATTCACCTATTTACTCAGTAGACGTTTCGAATCGACAGTCCCCCAACTTTCTGTGCCGGGATCGATTCTTTACATTCGCGCTTGTTGAATGTGAAATTTCTGGTCATAAATCTTGAATTCACTAAATTATCAAGCAAAAAAGCTAGGAATTATATTGAAATACAAGTAACGTAAAAATGGAATAACAATGAATTAAGAATTACAAAAGACTGTAACAATGTTCCTAAAAATTATTCATTATTAGAAGCTGTAAGAGAATAACTTGGAAAATAGACATAGATCAAAAGGGTACTGCGATATTCTTTGTATCAGCAGAGGACGATCTGTCCTAACTTTTATTCGGAAAAAAATTCTGATTCCCCTGCTATTGGTGGTCGAAGTTCTTCAAAAGAAATACGTTTTCGTAAAAATGTGGTGAACTTTTCAGTGTGTTGGTGCAAAAACTGATTTTTTTGCATTGTTGCGCTAATCCTCATTTGATATGTTTGTCCTTTCCGTACAATCTTGCAGCATTCATAGTTTTTGCGCAAAAAATATTTCCGTGCTTTTGCCAATTGATCTAAACCGAGAGTACCAAAATCTGCAACTGCTGCTGAAGATAACATTGAAAGCATTTTAACATACTTTCATGCATTCTCTCCAGCTTCTATTCGAAGTGCCGCAGATGATTTCGGCTGAGCCCATAGTGCCATTTAAAGCATTCAAATTAAGCATGCAATGCATTCATACAAGTTCGCAAAAGGCCAAGCTCTGATGCCTGAAAATTATCACCGGAAAATCAGATTTTTGAAACAATTCTGGTGCATGCAGCTTAACAAAAACATAATTTGAACGGACGAAGCCAAACATTCCAAGACGAAATAAACATTTCCGAGCCGATATAGAGTCGACAGAAAGATTTATAGATTATATTCTACTTGTTGCATTCAAATTAAGCGTTAAAGTTTGTAAGCGATGTTTCAGAAGATCTCGTACTAGAAAAATATCGCACATGGTTCCAACTGGACAGAGCATCGGCTCTTTGCAGCTAGAAGTTAACAAAGAAATTTTTTGGCCTGCGAGGTGACTCGAGCTGATACCAGGGGATTTTTTACAGACAATAGTTAACAATATAGACGATTGCACCGACGATTCATCAACAATGCATTAGAGAACTGGATGTTTATGAGATATCTGTATTGGATCGTACGAATTTGGAAATGTTTAGAAAGCAATAGAATTTCGAATTTATTTTTTAAATAGTTTCACTGTTTGGCATCGACGAACTAATGTATTAACCGCAGCTGATATTTGAATGGAATTAGTTTTTAGATTATCACAAGACTTGCTAATCCAGTTAAGTTTCAAAGGCGATTGATTTTAGATGTTTTTAAAAAGAATGATCCAAAGGATTTAGATCAGACAGGCGCGGTGGCCAAAATGCTGGTTCATTTCAAGAAACTTACATATTTGCGTAGCTGTTGGGCAGTGCCATTAATTCAATTAATTGCGCTATTCGAAATGTGAGCTTCCAAAGCTCATTGCACGCAATTTGCAAATAAAATAGCGATTTGGCAATTTCAAATGTGCTTTTCCTATAAGAATATTTTAGCAATGACCAATTGAAAAAATCGGCATCTGAAAACGAAGTGTATACATTTTAGTTTAATGTGTTCATTATATTTAATTGCTTATTATATTCTTTTTCAAAGCTTACAAACATTTCTTGATGATGCAACTGATTGATGAACTTTTCAGCGATTAATAATGAGCAATTGCTAATATTATCTAGGCGCGATGATTTGCCAATATGTTGCATATCAAGAAAAATCTAAACAATATTTTTCAGTTCGTCCAGTTCATCAACGGTAGAATTTTCATCCAAGTACCTACTATTCCACTTGCTTTCCGTAATATGCGGATATCTTCAATCACATCGGGGTGAAAGTTTTCCGCAAATTTGTTAAATGAATTCCCATTTAAACAAAAAGGCAAACATGCGATCCCCAGAGGTTATTGCTTGAAACTCCTATGTACTGTATCAACACATTTACGCTAAACTGTTGCTGAAACGAAGATGGTTTGATAGAGCGAGAATTGACTTCGCTCCGAACATGAAAGTTGTGAAAATTCTTAATTCCAGTTCCATAAAACCTGTTGCAGCATTTGTGGATTTATTTTCGACCCATCTAAAAAAATTGGCAGGTTTTTCAGGATCTTCTTGCAGAAAACATTGAACGGGCGTAAATGGACATTCCTAAGATTTTCTTTTTCGATGTTGATTTTGTCAGAACTGGTAGATTTTTCATTTTTTTTTGTGTTCAGTAACTTCTTCTTTGGTTATTTTTAGATCTTTTCGGCCTCATTGACTGTGCCTCACTTCTGTTCTTAGGATTATTTCGTTATTATTGTTGTGTAAAATTATTTCCTGCCACTTTCTATGCCTGCCTCTCATCTTTTTACTCTCGTGTGAACAAAGTGTCATTTCTTTCCTGAAATTGTTCAATTTCTCTACATTTTGTTGATATCCTACTTTCTTTGGCGTCTTTGTACTTTTTCCTGAATGATTTCATTGAGTTGTTTGTATTAGGCCTGGGTAACTCAGTGAACTTTTAGGAGTTGGCGCAGTGGCTCAAATGGCAGCAAATGGCTTGGTGCGCCAACCCAACGCACCGGCGAAGTAACTCAGTTCCGTTGCTGGAAAAATGTGGATGACTTTTTTTAGATTTATTTTAAAGGCCATTTATTAATAATATTTTTAAATGTCTTCAAATTTCAAAAATTTTCCAGTTTTGGACAAGTTAATTTTTCTTCTAAATGCTCAACTTTCTAAAGTTTTACTTAAAAATRCTGAAAAGGTTACGGTATTTTACTCGAAAAATTATGAAATAAATTTTTAATCCTTCGTCGTTTTGTAAAAAGTTTTGAAATCCCTTTTCAGCTTCGAATTTGGAACAAAAATCAAATAATACAGAATAAGGGAAAGTATATAACAGATTATTTGGAAATCCGTCACCTCCATTCCTCTGAAGACTATGGAATTTGTTAAAAAATGTGATTTTTTAGTTTTGACTGATTTCTTTTACTTTACTTTCTACTTTTTACTTAAAAGCGCTCTATTTTGTAGAGTTTCGCTTAAAAATACTGACGATCTGGAGGACTGTTGGCGAAAAATTACAAGATAAATTCATATCTTTGTTAAAATTTGGGACAATAACGAAAATACTCCCCTTTTTCTCAAAAACCATTAAGGTTTTCTCCAAAACTTTCTTTTTTCTGATGATTTTTATCTTTTCTGACAATAATGGGGCCTTTTCAGCCAAAAATGACAAAACTAATTTTGCTAGAAAATTCGCCTCATTCATCGCTTTGCAGGGAACTTTAGAAAACTCTTTTCAGGTTCGAATTTGGCACAAAAACCAAATAATTTTAGTGAGTTTTTTACCGAAGGTAATTAGAATTATCTTGAAAAAACAACGACCAGAGAGCAAAAGTTTAAAAAAATTATTTGAAAAATTCAATTCTTTCTACGCAAAAATCACATACTTTTTTAGTTTTACTTAAAATACTGACATCACTCGATGACGATCATTTATTTGGAAAACTTCGAAACTGGGGTTTCTTCACTTTTAGGTCAATATTTATAAACAACCCTGTCTCTAAACAGAGAAACTGCGTTTTTTCTAACGTTTTACTGTAAAACACTGGCAAACTGAATCTTTTATGCAAAAAAGGTATCGATTTTACAAGAAAACTTAGTTGTTTGAGCAAAGTAGTAAAACGTTACTCACAAAAAATGTTGATCGGTTTTTTATTAGATGTAAAAATTCCAGTCTCGGGTCTCGTAAAGTTTTAATAAATTAATTATAACTCATTAACCGACTCGACACATTGTAACCCAGGCCTAGGTTGTATTCTATTGGGTTTGGTCCATTTTCGTCTTTCCTCCATGAGCTCCATGATTTTTGGTCTTTTACTTATTTTCTGTTTTCTACATATCTCATGCCGTCTTCTTGTGTCTTAATTATTTTAGCTTTTGAAGCGTTTCATGTTCCTTCAACGTCTAAATTCTGTATTGGCTGTATTATCGTTTCTAATTCTTTCTCGAGCTTAGGTCTTTTATGGGGCTTTTCAGTTGTGACATGTCTATTTTTCTTCTTTTTGCTTTCTCTAGCTCGGCGTGTGCTTAAATTTTTATTTGG